CAGAAGCTGCACACCAAATGAGACCCTTGTATTTATCATAATTGTCCTTACCGACCATGTTTGCATATTGATCTTTGAATACTTCGTAGAGACCATATTTAAAAGCACCTTGAGCTGAATAACCGAAAAAAGTTGGTAACCAGCCTTTCCAAACAGCACGACTGCCCTCTTCAGCAACAATAGTTTTCAAACCCTTGACAAGACCCTTGTATTTATCCGGATTGACCTAAACAAAAGGAAAATTGACCACCGTACTCTCACTAGTCAAGACAAGGTGGTCTCGATAAACATTGACACATATTCTGTTCGCGCCCAGCAGTCAGTTCTCTACGAGTCACTGCACGAGAACCAGGCCCACTCATGCTAAACGATCATCTTAGACTTTTTACTCAGTAGTGTCATCTTGTGCAGCATGTTCGAAAACCTATAAATCCAAACTTTTAACCTTATTGCACCGTAGGTTTCAGAGATACAGCAAGAGTTTTCAAGAGTGCTTAGCATAAAACTTTGGCGCCAGAAAATGGAAAGAAAACGTAAAAATGCCATTACTCCGTCAATAAGAATGATCATAGTGAGATTTTTTCACCATATCAGGTCTATGATGTCCTCTATTCGATGACATAGTTGTATTTCTTTTGTCTTAAATCTTCAGTTCAAAAACCCGACTTTCTCGAGAGTCGCATGGGTTAAGCTTGTTGGGTTCCATTCTTGAGGTCATCTACCTACAACAAATCTAGAACAATTTTTGTTATGCATTCAGCCATAGGATATCTAAATCTGTTTTCAAAAGTTTGGCCGTGGAAAGCATCTCTCGAAAAACGACGTAGATTTTCTAGAAAACTCCTAAGCTTCTTTGAAAAGTTTGTAAATTACGTTACTAAAAAGAGCTTAAAATTCTGAATAAAATGATGTATGATTCAGTGTTCTTCAACTTTATCTAAGTCGAAAAATCGACCTGTAAAAAATGCTGTTTCTAGGCTAACATCTTTTGGCTTGGAAATCCATTAGTCCATAATTCTTTTAAGATTGTCCTTAAACCATAGATCATTTTATTCAGAATTTTATGCTTCTTTTAGTTACGTAATTTACAAACTTTTCACAGAAGCTCAAGAGTTTTCTAGAAAATCTATGTCGACCTTCGAGAGACGCTTTTCAAGGTCAAACTTTTGAAAATGGATTTAGCTGAATGCATAAGAAAAATTGTTCTGGATTCGTTGTAGGTAGATGTCCTCGAGAACGGAACCCAACAAGATTAACCTGTGCGGCTCTCCAGAAAGTCGGGTTTTTGATCTGAAGGTTCAACATAAAAGAAATACAACTATGTCATCGAATAGAGGACATCATAGACTAAGGTCCGATAAGGTTAAAAGTTTGGATCTATAGGTTTTCGAACATGCTCTACAAGATGACACTACTGAGTAAAAAATCTACGATGGTCGTTGAGCATGCTTCTGTGATAAGCAGGCGTTTTTCTCGTACAATGGCTCCTAAGGTATACGATGCATCGATTTCAAATTAGTGTAATCCTTTCTGAGTGTTACATTCATAGTTTCCTTGTCGAACCTCATACGAACGCAACGAATACTATACACAGAACAGAACAAAATTGCACAAAAAACCATCTGACTATCAATTCTCTTCTATTGCTAAGGAACGTACAAAAATACACCACTTCATGGCCAGTCATATGCATCGAAGAATACCAGAAACGTCTACCGAAGAACACGTCATCGGTAGGTTGTAAAGATGTCATACAAGAGCATTTTCAGTTATTTTATCAAATTTCTTATTGCAAGATTTGAATGGTTTTCTTTAGTACCGAACAATAAAAAATTTTCATTTGTTTTTCAAGAAAGTTCGTACATGATCAATATTCAGGTCATAGGCAAGATTTTTGATCGTATTCAAAACGATTGAAATTTCGAGTTTGGACAACTCACCTGCATGTTACATTTTGTGACATCAAGTGGACAGATAGCAGTGTGGGTGAGACCGCACGCGAGAATGCCACCGAGAAGACATTTCGAATAGTACGAAGCATCGTGTGGTACATGACCAGCATACCGAGAATCCCATTTAGTTATAGTCGTTGAACCAGCAACGGGCAACTGAGATGTTGATGCAACCATTTTTGAGCACACGAAGAAAAGATCTAGAATAGAACTGTAGTACAGTGGGCACTTTGTACATCCAGAAATAGAGCGAGATAGAACGTATGCACAACAACTCCAACGATAACAATAGAAAAGTGCTCATAGTTACAAAAGCGTTTTACCATTAACAAAGAAACCGAAAAGAAGCAGACGAAATATGCACGCAGAGAGACAGAAAGTGAGAGAAAGTACAAGAAATATGAACATATTTTTGAGCTTGAATAAAAGAGTGGAATAGCATAGAAATATTTGTTCGTTCAATTGCACAAAGAGAGAAATAATGACAACACGAAAAGAAAAAGAATGCACAAAAATAAGTATTTCACGTTTTGATCATTCCCTAATAGATATCTTATGGGAAAACTGTAATCTGAATGTAGCTTTATGGAAGAATTCGACTATGTAAAAGAAACCTCGACCCGATATGGTTACTCAGTAAACTATGGACTAACCAATCCACCTACAATAACACACTAATACACACACAGAAAGAAGAATGGAACAAAATCCGGATAATAATGCATGAGCGAGGCAGATAACTACAGTCAAAATGGAAGGCGTATGTGTAATCATTTGTTCTATTTTCCAGCAGATGTCGCCATATTACAGCAGCACATGCTCGTAGCACTGGAATACATGTGTCGTTCAGAAAATAGGTAAGATAATAAAATAGGTAAATCATAGAAATGTTTTCCACATTATAGCCGGTGATCCACATATCAAGAAAGTGTTCGACTTTGTTAGAGTATTTTACGTGAGCAAAGTGCACAAAAAATTGAGGGAAATAAGACACTGAAAGCCGGCCTGTTAATTTTTTATTAGCAATCCGGTGTACCATTATCTCATTTCTTTTAGAAAGATTCCGATAGCACTCCAAAGGTAAACTTTCAATAATAATGTGCGTTTAAACATGCGTTTGACTTGTGGTTCAGAGAGATTGTGGTCATGAGGAATATCACTGCCTGTAGTAACATTATTGTTGCTATATATAATGCAAGTATTGGCCAAAAGAGACGTTTGGTGATGTACCGTTTAGAGATGACATCAACAAATATTTAGGGAGTAGTTTCGGGCAACTATTGTATCTCTAACGCAGTGACCTCAATCAGAGAAACTGGTCGTGCCTCTGAATGGGCTTTATGTACACTTTGCTCTAAAAACACCTTTCCCTATTCAGAAGTTGAATCATTTTGACCTCATCTTTCCCATAGACTACGGGCATCAACCTCATTTTTTTGTTGAAAAACTGGTATGAAGTTCAGTTATTCCCTGAACTAGATCCGAAATAAACCCACTCACATAATAGAAGCCCCAGGAGCGTGTAAACTGTTCTAGCGTTCAAAATTTGTAGGAGGAACTTCTAATAGGTCCCACTATTTTTCAAGGGTTTCACGTACAAAAATTTTGTAACAACGTTTAGGGTTTTTCAGAGCTTTTCGAAGAGATATCAAGGGATATTTCGAGATTCTCATACTGGTATGTAAAATTTAAAACGAGTTTTTACCTTAAAATCCTGAAAACTTGACAGTTTTTACTTTAGAAATTCTAGTAAAGCTTTCCGAAAATTTCAAATTTTTTTTCAAATGAGGGGTCTCTAATACATTTTGCACATAGCCCCAAAGGGGGGGGGGGGGCTTCTATTACGAGAGGGGGTTTACAGGAATTAGGATGTCTAGGATTTACCAAATGGGAAACGAAAAATCTTAAGTATAAAGCTGAAGTGAACGCTTGATTTAATCTGCTTTTTCCTCTTAGCACCAAACAGAAGCTTTACAAAATGATGGAATCCAATAAGCAAGGTGTTTACGAGCGATATCTCCGTTGTATTCAATCAAAATCAGATGCGGGCGTATTTTTTAGAATATGGTTCTTTTACTGTTCACGTATCGAAGTGTAAGTATGAAGAAGCGTGCGTATGAAAAATTCTACTTTAGAACTGTACACGTAAAGTGAAAAAATATCTTTCAATAGCGTTCTCTTTTCAGTCTTTGCAAAAAAATCCGAAAACCGTTCTCTTTTCGGTTCCGTTCTCCAAACAGTTTAAAAATTTAATAATTCGCACTTCGTTCTCCCTTCGGTCCAAACTTCGTTCTCTTTTCATATCTTTTCCAATCTTCGTTCATACCGCAATTGGCATAGATTACAGAAAACTCAGAGACATCTAATTTTAGAAGCGGATTTCGCTCTGTCTGAATTTCTACAGTCACGTCTTCATTAAAGTTTAGAAAAGATAGTAAAGTCGCTTCTAGTTCTATAAAAACAGATACCATTCTTCATCACATTCATAGACTTCAAAAGGTGTTCGCTTCCATCTGCCGCAAGACAATGTTCGCCATTCTTCGAAGTTATGGCATTCCAGAAGAGATCGTACAAGCCATTCGTGTTCTCTACGACGATTCAACAAGTAAGGTCTTCGTAGACGGTAAATTATTCAACGAATTCAAGATCTGGCGTTTTGCAAGGAGACGTTCTGGCACCATCTCTATTCAGAATTGTCATGGCTTATGTAATGTGAGACGCAGAAAGAGAGCTGAATTTGTCACCCATCTACGACAGTCCAGCAGAATGCCTGAACAGCGCCTCAACGGACTCGGCTACGCCGATGACATCGTCCTACTAGAAGGAAGTCTCATTCGAGCCCAACAACAACTCGATAGAACAAACAACAGCGCACTCAAAGCAGGTCTCGAAATAAATGTTGGTCAAACAAAACGAATGGAACTCAACACCTCAAATACAACACACGGTACACGCACTTCAAACAGTGAACCAATCGAACTGGTAGCCGACTTTAAGTATCTTGGCTCGATGATGGCATCCTCTGAAAAAGACATGAAGCACCGTAAATCACTCGCATGGGTAGTATTCTAGAGGATGGAAAGCATCTGGAGAGCAAAGGAAACGCCGCTCTCTCTCAAAATCCGCTTCTTTGAGATTGCTTGCATCCCGATTCTATTGTACGGAAGCGAAACATGGGTTCTCACACAACAGTAAGGTTTTGTACTAATCTTAAGTAGAGAATCAGGTTGGCATCAGGATTACCAGGAGTCAAACAAGAGCACCCCTAGCCCTCCCAGGAAACCTCATGCGACACCACATCCATGTTCAGTGAAGACTTCAGACTCTTCCATCTTTTTCCTTGAGAGATAGATGTCTGGGGTTTTCAGCTTTGAATTCCTTGGCTCTTGCTCTATCTAACCATGTATCACTCATAGAGTTTCTATGAAAATCAGATGTGTGGCTGATTTTCCAACAGAATGGGCCTAAAAATGACATCTGTTCACTTTCCAATCCCTACTAGTTTTTCGTATCAAGTACTAGACCCTTGCGTCATACATGGTTAGATAGAGCATCGAGCGGGCAGCAGAGTTATATGTTTACATTTTTGAAAAAAAATTTTGTTTCTAAAATGTTAGTAGAAATTGTTGCAAAAAATGGAAAATTGAATTTATTCCACTTCCTCATTTTTATACCAAAATTCGATAAAAATACACTCCAATAGGTAAGAAACGATGCAGAATTCAATAGAAGCTAGTCTGACCACTTATCACGACTGGCAGACCCGCTTATAGGATCACTCGGATGTTTTTTATCGATTTACACGAACGGGTTTTTCACAATATGAAACCTCATGCGACGCCACATCCATTTTCAATGAAGACTTCAGACTCTTCCATTTTTTGACTATTTATCCGTGTAAAAAGGAAAATCCGTTGCTAATTCAAATTTTGAAATCCAGACGGATTTCCTGAGGCCTTTTCAAATCCTATCTTCTAAAAAGGGTTTTCACTTTCTGTGTTACAAAGCATTATGTCATCGAATTCTATTTAGAAATAAGCTTTTCTTTGATATATAACAAATACGTGTACCTGTGGTGGTATAGGCTGCACCCCTGAAAAGCACTGTTGCACTATTCTCCCATCCTACTATTCTAATATTCCACTATTCTAGTCTTCTATCATTCTAGTCTTTTACTATTCTAATCATTCCTGTCCAACAACTTAATTCGTAACATAATGAAGTAATGTAAATTATGCACTACTAATCTGGCTTAAAATGTTCTTCTATTCTACTTAGTATCTCACAATTCTAACTGCCCAATAGATTACTAAACCAAGTGAAAATTTCTGTCTAACAGAAATTCACCCAGCTATGCCTTTTACTTCAGCTTTTCTGGTCGCCTGTCAGTCTGCATACAGGTGGAGAAAAACTCTTTTTATAGGTTAGCACTGAACACTGAACTGTTTCTTAGAACGTACTCCTACTTCTAAAAACTGATCGGTTCGTAAGACACAAAAGAACTCCAGACATGTACTGATAGTGGTATTCTGAGATCAGCAAAGGACACTTGTTAAAGATGATCATGAAAATCCAGATCAGACAGGTAAAGTTGTAGATTATATAGCTGCTCGACTGAATAAATGAACTCTGATATGATGATCATGTTGCCATAGGGTCTCACTCTTTACTCCCATTTTGAGGAGAACACCCTGTCTATGCACGCAAAACCTTCGTGGAAAATACCTTCGATCCGTTCATTGTATGGATCCTTGTCTAGTTGTGTCGAGGCGGTGAAAATTGATATAGAAAATATCGTTCTTACTTGAATTTTTTTCAGGGAACCAGAGTTATCATCTCAGAATTTTGGCACAGTTCGAAAGGACGGAAAAACTGCAATTCATCGAGTCTAGACAAAAAATCAGCTGTTTCGAACGTAGAAAACCAACATTTTCGGGGCCACCTGTTACAAACAACTGAGAGCCAGAGACTCTCTGGCTACGATTGCTACTATGTAGCACTTGTAAAAATTTTCCTTTATTAGCCATTTTCCAAAATTTTTACATTGAAAACAAAAACACACCCATGTATTTTACCAAACATAAGTCCCTACACTACCTCCGCGCAACGACGTGCTGAACATTT